TTAGGATACATTTTATTTGGTTGTCATGTCTTTCTAGATAGTTACAGTTTCCTATGATGTATTTATCACAACTCGCCTCTAGAGGAAATTGCTATTCTGGCCCTGGGAGTAATAGGGTTTCTTGCCCTTCTCTCAGTGGCTCAAAACTTTTGTTCTGTAAGAGAAAGGATCTGGGCAGGGTCTTGTGCCTTTCCCACAGTATTGGCCTCCAGGCCTGTACTACTAAAGGAGACTTTCTCCAGCTTCGCACCCTGCTCCCTGTCTTTCTGGTGAAGACCGCTGGTGGAGGTTTGTAGAAACGGGTCTGCAAGTGGATGTGAACATCCCATTTTGTCTCTGGCTCCCATGAGGTCTGTATCCTCATACTAGCTCACACCCAGCCTTTAGCAATTTGCTAAAATTTTTATCTGAATGTTTAACCTCCTTAATGGTGCCAGGCATCACTTCCTCCTATGATCTGCACAAATTGGCTAGTGCTTTCTCCCATTTTTCCTTAATTGCACCTGTGTTTCCTTAGATTTCAGGCTATTTAATTGCTGTTACCTCAGCACTGTGATGATTTTGCAGTTTATCTAGCTTTTACTCATTTTGATGGTGGGTGCAACATTTATTATTGGATTTGCTGACAGGTTAAATGTGAAAGGTAAAGTAAAGAGAGAGAGAGATCAAGTATAATTCCTAAAATGTTGGCTAGAGCAACTCAGTAGATGGTGGTATCATTAACTGGCATGAGAGAGAATGGGGAGGGGTAGCTCTGGCAGAAGAAATAAAGTGAAGAATTTGACCTTTGTTAAATTTGAGATGCTAGAAGACATCCCAGTGGAAATACGAAGTGGACAGTCAAGAGTTCAAGGCTGAGATCTAAATTTAGAAGTGTTCTATATATAGATCACTTATAGATAAGTACATATGAATTCTTACATGTAGATATCTGCATAAAGGTAATTTAAGCCATGAAATTACTTGAGACCACCTTGGAAGTAGGTAGACAGAGAAAAGGGAGTTTGGATTAGTACCCAAAGTCCAACTCTGGGAAGATCTAGCAGAGAAAAAATCAGGAAAGGAGACTGAAGAGGAACTGCCAATATGTAGGAAATATGGTCTCCTAGAAACCGTGAGAGAAACAGTTCCGAGGAGGGAGGAGTACATGCATCTTGTCAATTACTTGACAACAGTAGTCTTGGTGAAGGGTTAGGGCAGGACCTCAGTTGGTGATGGCTGAAGAAATAATGTGAAATGAGGAAGTAAAAATAGTAACTATAGGCTTGGGAGGCCGAGGTGGGCAGATCATGAGGTAAGGAGATGGAGACCATCCTGGCCAACATGGTGAAACCTCATCTCTAATAAAAATACAAAAATTAGTTGAGACTGAGGCAGGAGAATCGCTTGAACCAAAGAGTCGGAGGTTGCAGTGAGCTGAGATTGTGCCACCGCACTCCAGCCTGGCAACAGAGTGAGACTCTATCCCCCTGTCCCCCCAAAAAGTGGCTATAAATAAGTCTTACCAAAAAATGGGTTGAAAAAAAACCAGAGAGGAGATATAGCTTTAAGGCAGTGTTTCTCAACCTTGGAAAATTGACATTCGGGGCCAGATGATTATTTGTTGTGGGGGCTGTCCTGTGCCTGATGGTTAGCAACATTCCTGGCCACTATCCACTAGATGCTAGAGCCTCCAGTTGTATCAGCCAAAAATGTTTCCAAATATTCTCTGGTGGAGCAATATTTCCCCCAGTTGAGAAAGTTCAAGCTCCAGAGAAATATTTAAACTTAATGTTTTGGAGCTAGTGAAGGCAAAGTATATGACCATGGGAATTGGGTGGCTGAAGTGAGATAGAGAAAATAATCACTGAAAACGTGAAATCCAAGGAATTGAAAGATCAAGCCATAATCAGAAGATGAAAATAACAAAAAACAGTAGCAGATAATATAGACTGGTGGCATGAACTTCAAAAAGCTATCTTGAAAGCGAAGTGAGGAAGAATGTAAAATGTTAACTGATAGAATTCCTGTACAGATTTATTTTAGAGACATGGTGGTTTCACAATTAGCAATCTATGAACAATTTTATGAAAATATTCCTAAATTTTATGTAGACAATTCAAGGTGAAGTGCAAAACAGCTAGGTGTTGAAGTGTCATTTTTAACTTTTTTTCCTCCTGCCAACCAGATATTGCTGTGCCTTCCTGCATTAAACTATAGTCCTTTATCCATTAAACTATAGTCCTTTATCAGGTGGGAGGATAATGAGTAGGGATAAAAAGGCATACAGGTTGACAGATTGGGTGAGACAAAAAAGTTCCTATTTGTTGACATATAAAGTAAAATGCCATTTAAATGTATCTTATAATCTCTTCTGTTTAGTGACTATCATGCTTTATAGTGATATTTTGCCCAAGAAGCCATTTTTAAATATCTGCTTCTTAAAAAGAAGATAGAATTATCTCTGTGATCCAACTGTTTTCTAAAACTAGCAGTCAACACATTCTGTGTTCTATATGCAGAATCGTATTACATGGATATCTAATGTACTTTTTTTAAAAGACTCAAGGACAAAAGAAAATTGCTAGCATGATGGAAAGTAAAGATGTACACAAAAGAATATTTCAAATTGAGTGGGAACATAAGAAAATGGAGATGGAAAGGGAAGATCTAAATCAGAAGGCTTGGGATATTCAGATGCTATTTTTCTCAAGAGATCGTCAAAAGGTAAGTTCTCCCTACCCCCCTACATAGTTTTAATTTTATTCATTAGTGTATTCATTCCTTTAGCCAGTATTAATAAGAAGCCTCTATGATATCAAGCATATTCTAAGCCAGGAGTGTTTTCTAATGTATTTGTGGGTTATTTTTCTTTTAGTAGTTTGCATTTTCTACGTCCACTTCTTCATGACCCATTCAGTAGAATCATTTTACTTAGAGCTCACTAAGGATTTCCAGTCAAACCCAATGGTCCTTTTCCCACTCATTACCATCCTTCAATTCTCTGTAGCATTTAACCATCTTAATTTCCCATTCCTTTGGCTTTCATCACCCTAAATTAATTTTTCTTCCAACATGTCATACCACTCTGCCTCTTTCACTGGATTCTCTTTTGCCTCTAACACTTCAATATAGCAGTTCAAGATTTTTGCCTTAGCTGTGTTTGTGTTTTTTTCCATACCTCTCCCGGAATGATGTCCTCTGTTTTTCTAACTTCAACAATCACTTCTAAAAACTAATCTAAGTTCTGTGGATTCTAAGCCATGCCCCATTTGTATACTTTTCACCTCCTAGCAGCTTCTCTTCTTAGTTTGCTTTTTTGTACATGCCAAATCTACTTTTCAAGATCTAGTTTAAATACCACCCACTTCTTCATAAAACCTTTCTTGATTTCCCAAGCCAGGAGAAATTCCATCTCATCACAAACCACCTTTGAATTAGCACGACATTCTACATGTCTTCTGGCAGCCAATCATATCTATATGATCGTTTTCCCATGAAGACTAGGACATGTTATTTATCTTTGTATCTCCCTCAGTGTCTTTAACTAGGACTTTGTTAGTATGATACTCAAGTGGAACAATTAAATGTTTGGTGAGTTGAATAAATGAATGAATGAATGAGAAAATAAACTAGGCATTTGTAATAATTTGTGCTTTGATGTGACAATTAGTGTACGTGAATGTATTGATGACTAAATATAAGGAAATATTATGGCACAAATGCCAAATCAATTTTTCTTTTTTGAGATGGCATTTTGCTCTTTTTGCCCAGGCTGGAGTGCAATGGTATGATCTTAGCTCACTGTATGCTCCACCTCCCAGGTTCAAGTGCTTCTCCTGCCTCAGCCTCCTGAGTAGCTGGGATTACAGGCATGCACCACCATACCCAGCTAATTTTTTTATTTTTTAGTAGAGACAAGGCTTATTAGTCAGGCTGGTCTCAAACTCCTGACCTCAGGTGATCCACCCTCCTCAGCCTCCCAAAGTGCTGGTATTACAGGCATGTGCCACAGCGCCCGACTAAGCCAAATCAATCTTAACTTACATAGATACTTATTATGAAAAACAGTAACTTTCAAAACTAAAACAATCTTTATAAAGTTACCTATTGAACGAGAGAAAAATATCCTTACTTTTTTTTTTTAATCTCAAAGTTCCTAAATGAACCAAACTATGAGGCTCTGATTAGTATTCAGATTGGAATAATGGAACAAACCATTGCTGTTTTAGATAAGGTAAGTCTCAAAGATATTGGTTATTATATCCTAACAGTTGTAAATCATTTGAGCAAAGTATTAATATTTCAAATCATGAATTTACCTAGGTCCTAAGAAAGTCTTGGTCATTTACTAGTACTTATGAGGTAATTAGAAGTCCCTAAGTAGTGTCTTTGCAGTCGTACCCAATGAAATAGAATTAAGCACTTCCTTTAATATTAGAATTAACCCCTGGGGACCTATCTGAGTGTAAGTGGATTTTCTATTTCACATTAGGTTAGGCTTTATGTAATAGGAGTGTTGGTAGTCTCTGCTTGGCATTGGAAACATTTTATTTAATCATAACTCAATAAAAATGCATAGTTTTATTATGTAGCGTATATTAGATAGAAACAAAGCAATCTCAAGCTTTTTAAAAATTTACATGTTTTTTCTAAAATTGGTATTAACATACCATTCTATCCTTTCAATAAACAACTTGAGTCCCTACTATGCCAGGCACTATGGATATGGTGGTAAGATGTTATCTTAATGATGATAATGTATTTAAAATATAAGAATAATGTCGTTATAGGATAACTTACATTTTTCAAAATTAACTTTGTGGGGTATAATGGGAACAAAAATTTCAGACCCACAAAAAGAATGTGGAAAACTGCAAGAAACTACTTAAAAAACTTGGAAAGTTCAGCAATCAAAAAGATATAGCAAATTATACCCTAAGCTGTAATCTACGAGAAGAGTTGGTAGCTGTCTCAGAGAGAAAAGACATCTGTAATGCAATGGGTAAGCATGTTTTTTGTTTTCCCCCTGACATCTGTAATGTAATGGATAAGCATTTTTTTTTTCTTTAACTGTAGGTTTCTTTAAAAGTAATCAGTGGCCAGGCATGGTGGCTTATGCCTGTAATCCCAGCAATCTGGGAAGCCATGATCTCCTGATCATGAGGTCAGGAGATCAAGACCATCCTGGCTAACACAGTGAAACCCTGTCTCTACCAAAAATACAAAAACATTAGCCAGGCATGGTGGCATGCACCTATAGTCCCAGCTACTTGGGATACAGGCAGGAGAATCACTTGAATCTGGGAGGTGGAGGTTACAGTGAGCTGAGATGGTGCCACTGCAGTCCAGTCTGGGTGACAAAGTGAGACTCTGTCTCCAAAAAAAAAAAAAAAGAGAGAGACGTGGGTTGGCGTGGGAGAGGTTTCCTCGCTCTGGAACCTCATAGAAAATTCTCAGGGAGATTCTTCAAGCAACCACTATGTCAACAGACCCAGATATTTCCCTTTCTTCATATGATGAAGATCAGGGATCCAAACTTATTAGAAAAGCTAGAGAAGCATTCGTACCCATTGGAATGGCAGGTTTTGCAGCAATTGTTGCCTATGGGTTATACAAATTGAAGAGCAGGGGAAGTACTAAAATGTCTGTTCATCTGATCCACATGCGTGTGGCAGCCCAGGGCTTTGTTGTAGGAGCAATGGCTGTTGGTATGGGCTATTCCATGTATCGGGAATACTGGGCAAAACCTAAGCCTTAGAAGAAGAGATGCTGTCTTGGTCTTGTTGAAGGAGCTTACTTTAGTTAGACATCTCTTTATTGAAGTTACATATTGTTGAAAATAAACTAAGTTGTATGGGTTTAGATGGTAAAATGGCATTTTGAATATTGGCTTCCTTTCTTGCAGGCTTGATTTGCCTGGTGTGACCACATTAGTAGTGGCTAGTTTACTAACTAGGTCATTCAAGGAAGTCAAGTTAACTTAAAAGAAGCATGTCACCTAAATGCAGTTGATATGTTGAAATGACCACCTTCTTAAATTATTCAGCTGAACTTAGTTCTAAAGAAAGTAACAGGCCAACCCTGAAGTACTCCCAGTTTGCTGCAGAACCTCAGATGTTTTGGATGTTGTATGAGTCCTATTTGCCCCAGTTAATTTAACTTTTTTCTGCCCGTTTTGTGGACAGTCTGGCCCTTTTAGAACTCTGTCCAAAAAGTTCATGGAATATAACTTGTAAAGCTTCCCACAACTAACAATATGTATATGTGCATGTGTTTAAACCAAATGTAGAAAGCTTACAGTAGAGCTGCATGACAGTAGTATTTATTAAAGAATCTCAGTTGTAAACATGAGAATAATTTATGGATTCTAGTTTAGTTCTTGTGTAACTGTGAATTATATTTTTGCTGCTGTTATATTAGAATAAATTTTAAATGTCACCTTGAAGTAGAAATATTTTTAACACTCATAGCAAAGGTAAATGAGCACTTTTTAAGTGTGTGCATTGCTTATTTTTTCCGTAAGAATTGTAAACATTAAACTGAACAAATGACCTATAATGGATTTGATTAATGACTTATGAGCAAGCTGGTTTGGCCAGACAGTATACCCAAACTTTTATATAGTGCAGAATGCTATTAAACTTGTGAAATTCTCCAATGTAAACTGAATTTACATTCCATCATGATAACATGGTATATGTATTGTTATTAAAGTAAGCAAGCCATGCCAAAAAAAAAAGTAATCAGTAATCCTAAAATCTATACAATAAAAAGCTACCACCATTTCTTTTCAAAAAATTGTTTAAAATAATGTCAACTTTTATTTTAGATTCAGAGAGTACATATACGAGTTTGTTACTTGGGTATATTGTGTGAGGCAAACCTGATAACCACTACACTATGGAAACCCCTACCTACTTGGGTATATGGTGTGATGCTGAGGTTTTAGGGTATGGAATGATCCTGTTACGCAAGTAGTGAGCATGGTACCCTGTAATTTTTCAGCCTTTCCTCCCTCCCTGCCTCGTCCTTCTAGTAGTCCCCAGTGTTTTGGGATTTTTTTTTTTTGTTCGTTTTCTTGAGACAGGGTCTCCCTCTGTTGCCCACACTGGAGTACAGTGGCATGATCTCAGCTCAATGAAACCTCTACCTCCTGGACTCATATGATCCTGGCAACTCAGCCCCGCCAAGTACCTGGGACCACAGGCACGCACCCCTACACCTGGCTAATTTTTGTATTTTTTGTAGAGAGTGGGTTTTGCCACATTGGCCGGGCTGGTCTCGAACTCCTGAGGTCAAGTGATCCATCCATCTCAGCTATCCAAAGTGCTGGGATTACAGGCGTTAGCCACCATTCCTGGCCCCCAAGTGTTTCCTGTTGCCATCTTTATGTCCATAAGTATCCACTGTTTAGCTGCCATTTATAAGTGAGAACATGTGGTATTTGGTTTTCTGTTCTGTATTAATTTGCTTAGGATAATGGCCTCCAGCTGCATTCATGTTGTTGCAAAGGACATGATTTCATTCTTTTTTTAATGGCTGTGTCCCATGGTATATATGTACCACATTTTCTTTATTCAGTCCACTGTTGATGGTGTACCTAGGGTGATTCTTTGTCTTTGCTATTGTGATAGTGCTGCAATGAAGATACAAGTACATATGCCTTTTTGCTACCAGCATTTCTTCTACATGCTTAATTGATTCTGAGTGCTGCTTCTGTATTTGAAAGTATTGATAAATAATCTAATTCCTTTCTTCATTTTTGGGATAGGGTCTAAACTGACTTGTGAAAAGATTGCCAAAGAACGGTATGAAAACATGATGGAACAGCAGAAGTTAACAAATATTTCAAAACAACAAGCTGAAGAGATTTCAGTACTACAGGCTGAAGTTGAAAGATTAATGATGAAAACATTTCCTGCTCTTGTTCAAATGTAAAAACACTGGCAGGAAAACACAAGGCCAAATCAATCATTTAAAAAATCATTTCATTTGGGCAAAATGATTTCCTTTTCTTTTTTACTGGCAAATTGAAGTAGCATGTCCTCTTAACTGCATGTTTTAGTTTTAAAAAAAATGTTTAGTTTTAGCCTTAATTGTATACAAATTTTTGTCCTGCATGAATAAATGTGTAAAATACCATGAATTGTTTTTATTCAAGAATAAACAAGACTTGAGATCAGAAAGTATTCAAGATCTATTTTACTCATTTAATCTGAGTTGGATCAAAGATATTTTCATAGTTATAGTATAGAAAGCCTTAAAAAGAAATTCTTTGCCACACTAGCATTTCTAATTTTATAAAACTGTCAGAAAAGTTATGAGAATTATGGATAATTTTTATCTTTATGCTTTTCTGTTTCTCGTTTTCTTCAGTAAGCATTTCTTTCATAATCAGAAAAAAATTATGAGAATAGATTATTCCCTGCTTCACCAATGAGAACAAGATAAATTGTTAGCTTTTTCCAAGCCTTCTATCCTTTGTACAACATGTTTTAGAAACATAATCTAGATTTATTTTATGTTGTAATAGAATTCAATTTCGTGCTCTACCCAATAAGGTTTAACAAACAGAAAAATACTTATTTCCATGAAATAGTTTATCACTTTACCCATGTAGATGCTGATAATGACATAATGAGATAACTAACTGCCAGAAAACTCCTTTGCCCTTCCATAGCCTGTGGACTGCTTATCATTGGAATCATGGACAACAATCTCTAAATGATGTCAGTATCTCACTGTTCTGCAATTTATGAACTCAGTGTTAAGTTTAATCCTCAGTACCATATCCAATATACACTGATGTAGACAAAGTAAGAGGGCCATTATAAAATCTCCTATTTAGAAAAAAAAAATCTTTAGCTGTAATTGATCACCCACATAGTGATGATCTGTGCTGGATAGGGATAAGTGAAATTATAGGACCAGCATTTTTATGACTCCCCTCCTTTGTACTAGACTGACTCCTGAAGTAGTCAGTTTGGCTTATTCAGTAGGAAGTGCTCATGGGTAACATTTCCTACATCTGGGGTCCTTTAAAATTATCCCTGAGATGAGAGTTGTGGGGATCCCAGGATGGGGGTGCAAATACTTTAAACTTAAGATGGGATTGCCAGAAGTTCTCCATCCTGTTGGCTTGAGTCCACCATAGATGTACTAGGCTTGATTTTTTTACAATCTTTCTGGCGACACAAATTTCATTTTCACCTAAGTGAGCTGTCTGGAGACTCCATTTGCCAGTAGTCAGTGCCACAAATTTCACTAGATAATTCTCTGTGGATTCCCAGGTCTTAACATTTAACACTGGTTAGATTATGGGGAGGGGCTGGGCTGAGAGTGGGGTGTACTTGAGGGGGGTTCAGAGGAGTGCCAAACTAGTAGGGAAGTGCTTTTGAAAAAGCTAAGTAAAGCTATTTTTACACTTAAAAGGACCCAAAAGCAGAAATCCAGAAAGCCCCTAGGAATGACTAGCCACTAAAACCAGGAAGCCTCTGATCCACAAAGTTCTCTCCTATCACCTCTGCCTTTCTCCGTAAGCACACCCACTGCCCTTAAACATGCCAGCTCTGCTCCTTCCAGGTGTACATACAACAGCTCCAGTCACAGACAGATGGGCTTTCTTTTCCTTAGCTAAATTCCAAATTCTCAGGGACCAGCATAGCTTGGCTCCTATATCCATATATGGCCAAAATGATAGGTACAATTGTATAACTTGGCAGCAGAAACCCAATCCTGTGGAGGTGGGTTTATAAATAAGCAGCCTAAGTTTAATCTATTTCACAGATGAAGCTAGAAAGGCAAACAAATGCGAAGAACCTTATATGCCATGAAAACCTGATGTGGGTGGGAGATAAGGAAATGTAGTTTTATAAGAAATAGATGCTTGTTTCACTAAATGACGAATATGAGAAACAAATTTGAAGAGGCAGGGAAGAATACAGTTTTGGACATATGACTTTAATTACCTGCTAGATTTTCAGATGAAAGTATGTGGTAAATGGATGGAAACAAGGTGCATAAACTTAGGAGAGAGACAGAAATTTTTAAACTTTAGACATTTACCAGATTGGACAATTTTTGACATTTAAAATAAAACTTTTTGCCACAAAAAAACAAATGTATTAAAACTAGTTTCCAGAACTGCCCAAATAACTTTTTAAACATGATTTAAATGTCAATTTTTCTTTGGCAAATCTATCCAAAATACTAATTTTCCTTTTAGAACTTAGTTTAAAATTTATATATCAGAGTGCCCTTAATTGATGTGCATCGGAATACCTTTCTCTGAGCCCTAATGGTTTCTATCTTCCTTTTAAAATGCATAAGTATCTTTTAGTTAAGTTGTCATTATCAAAGATATTCTGGAGCAAATATGAAGAATTAAACATCTATAAATTCTTCTTCACTTCTGTTATAGTGTAGCAATTTATCATCTAAGCCATAGTGGTCTATCAATTGAGTAAGGCTTAGTTTCTTGTTCTCTTCAGACATAGCTGACTGCAACTCATAAAGCAACAGCTGGCTACAGCTTCTCCACTTCTTTATTAACAACTGTAACTGAGACAGATCATTCTGAAACAGGAAAAAAAAATGTATGTATGTCAATAACTAGTCATGCTAGTTCAACTTAAAGTTGTTAAATTAGTGGGATGTGCAGATTTAAAAGCTAACATACATGGAGATGAATGGGAATTCTATCTAGGAAAAAGTAGGTTGGTCATATGTAGAATGGTTACAATGCCACGCAAGTTCTAGGGCTATTTTGTTGGTTCAAGCTCTGAGCCATCCTTATGATAAGGGAAAAATCAAATCATTAAATAGGGTCAAAACTATGTCAAGAAGCAACGATACAGGGAAAAATCTACTCTATTACAACCATACTTTTTAAAAAAAATGACACTATACTGTACTTCCCACTCAATTTTGCTGTGAATCTAAAACTGCTCTTTAAAATTACAACATTCAAGTTCAAAATATTTTTTTTTTAGGCAGGGCGTGGTGGCTCACATCTGTGATCCCAGCACTTTGGGAGGCTAACGTGGGAGACCGCTTGAGCCCGGGAGTTCAAGACTAGCCTGTGCAAAATAGCAAGACTCTATCTCTACAAAAAATAAAATTTTGGAGTTCAAGACTAGCCTGTGCAAAATAGCAAGACTCTATCTCTACAAAAAATAAAATTTTTTTTTAAGCCAGGTGTGACAGCACATGCCTATAGTCTCAGTTATAGGGAGGCTGAGGTGAGAGGATCACTTGAGCCCTGGAGTTCAAGGCTGCAATAAGCTATGACTGCACTCCAGCTGGGCAACAGAGACCATGTCTCTTAACAAAGTATAAATGAAGGAATGAATAAATAAATAAAATTTTTCAACATTCAATAATTTTTTTTTTTTGAGATGGAGTTTCGCTCTTGTTACCCAGGCTGGAGTGCAATGACGCGATCTCGGCTCACCGCAACCTCCGCCTCCTCAGTTCAGGCAATTCTCCTGCCTCAGCCTCCTGAGTAGCTGGGACTACAGGCAAGCGCCACCATGCCCAGCTAATTTTTTGTATTTTTAGTAGAGACGGGGTTTCACCATGTTGACCAGGATGGTCTCAAGCTCTTGACCTCATGATCTAACCGCCTCGGCCTCCCAAAGTGCTGGGATTACAGGCTTGAGCCACGGCACCCGGCCTAATAATTATATTTTTTTCAAACTCTAAAAATTTAAGATAAATGAGATACTCTATCCCATCATTTATTCCACGTAGTTGGGGGAAAATATGCTATTACATATATATGAATTTTTCAGGTATTAAAGGTTATCTCCTTCGAAATTCTATTTAATTCAACCTATCTAAATCTAAAGCCTAATATACATTTGTTTTCTCAAATAAAATGGCTGAATCACATCAATTATTTGGCGGGGGAACAAGATGATTACTAAAAATACCTTTTATTGTACTCTACAGCTCATTTTTAGTTTTACTAATTCACTGTCAGCTTTCCCTTCTGTTACCATCGTACTTTTATCTAACATTTAATACTTACATTCCTGCAAGCTAGAAACTACAGAGAAAAGTTTAACTGCATATTAAATAAGAGCTGAGATTCTTTAAAAGTTTTACCCTAGTGTTTACGGGCCTTTTCTACTATAAATCTGGAGTTGAATTAAAGTTGTTGGAAGCCAGGTTTCTGAATGTTTGGCTTATTGCTTATTATGCTTAAAAAAAGAAAAAAAGCTCCTACTTTCTATTTTTTAAATTACTTTCCTGCAATTTATATAAAAATAAAAATTATGCAATGGTCCTCAAATTCTTACCTTTGATCTATACATTTTGACTAGTTTTAGCCTCCGAAGAAGGTCTTCTTTCTCCTGAACCTGCTTCACCAATTTGGCTTTTTCATCGCTTAATCTTTGTTTAGGCAGATTCTCATTCACAAACTCATTTTGGAGAGCACTGCATGACCCAGAATTAAGCGACTGAGAGTCACAGACACTGAGATTCTTCAAAGTATTTTCTTCAAATTCACTGTCCATGTATTTAAAACTTTCTTGAAATTCCAAACAGTTTTCCTCTGTGGAAGATGCTGGTTTCTCTGAAAAGGTCTGATCATTTTCTTCATTCTCTACTTTAAGACGTTTCACCACATTGTAACAAGAATTAAATGAAGATCTTGATTTCCTTAATCTTTCTCTAAGTGTTGCACTCATAGGCTGTAAAGAGCACAAAACATTAAAAATGTTAATCAAGAAGAACATTCTTGATGTAAATAAATCTATCAGAAATAAAGGCCTTACATTTCTATGCTAGACACCACTAGGTGGCTGTCTCCATATCTAAAGAAGGCATCACAAAATGTCTTTAATTTCTGGAAACTCCATTTGTTTTATTCTCTTTTTAGTTCAGCAAGATCAACACCTTTCTAAAACTGTTGAGAGGTTTGTCCCAGTAATTAAGCATTTGTTCAGGAACAAGCACATGCCTGACAGTAATCCAGGTGCTTCAGAATTACAGAGTAGGGAAAAGACCTAGACCCTGCCACTAAAGACCTTCATAATAATACTGCACAGATTCACTTTCTCAATTTGGTGAGTGTTGTAATAACCTAATCTGAAAGTAACTGAAATGAATTAATTCAAGAGGAAAACATGGCGGAAGGCTAGTGGGTATCATATATGTTAACTTAGAAGAAAAACATAAAATTATTTAATAAAATATCTACTTATTTAGGCTACACATTATGTTAATTAACCATCTTTAGTAGAATTTAAATCACCACTGCCACAATACCTAGAACACAGAATGGATCCACTGGAAGAACAAAGATGTTCATACTTGTTTTCGTGAACTACTTGTATAGGGAGACGATGGAATTGCAGAGACCTGAGGAGTGTTAGGTAAAACTGCAGCTGAGTCTGATGGACTTTCCATCTTGAAAATGAAATCTTGGCTTTTCTCTAAAAAAGAAAAATTATAAAATGAGAATCAAAACCACACCTCTCTATAGTCAATTTTTATGACTATTTTGTGTACAAAACATCCACAAGTAAGACAGATACTTCTTCAAATTTCACTTTATAATTCATTCTTGTTCTTTTTGCAGTTTTCCATTTACCTTCCCACATAGGGACTACTAATTTATTCATGACACATCAACCAGCTAGTACCTCACAACCAGCTATTATCTCATAGTCACGACTCTCCTTGTTTTCATCTACCAAAAAATATTCAAATTCTGCCTTAGGAGGAGGGGAAAAAACAGCTTTAGAAAATCAGGAATTCAAGGAGAGTGCACTGGAATTATTTCCTCCGACAGAGGCATAAACTTTTGCGAGGCAAACCAGAGGCAGGAGTCCCTCTTCCCCCCCCCCCGCCCCCCGCCGCAGAAAGCCCACTAGATCCCCGGAGACTCCAGGGATGAGCTTAGGTTCAGTTCCCCCGACCCGGAAAGGGAGCTCAACTCGACTCCACAGCAGACTCCCGAGGAAGTCCAGGTCTCAGGTAGCCCCGTTCCCTGCAAAAGAGTACCTCCCTCCGCCATCCCCAGCGAAAGCAAAAAGCGCGCGCAGTTGCGGCCGTAAATCTATCCTGTGGCAAGGCGGGGCAGTGCGAGACACGGAAAAGACACGCAATTGGCCAGACTGACTGACGCGTGAGGCGCTGCTTTCACTCAGCGACTGAGAGCGGCGGGTCTGCGCGCGCGCCTCCGCCAGTGGGCGGCTAGTGCGGGACTTGGCCATGCGATAGGCTGCCGAGACACGTGATTGGCAGAATTAACTAGCGCGCGCGGCTCTCCCCGCCCAGCACCCGAGAGCAGCGGGAGTGCGCGCGCGTGCGCGCGGCCGTGATCGGCAAGCAGGGCTTAACCGGCAGGCGAGGCTGAGCTTCGGAACGACCAACCGATCCTGAGGGGGGCGCGCTTCTGTTCCTGGCTTCCCTTGCCTTTTTTTCAACCGCCTTCCGTCCGGCTTCCTTGTTTTTGTGCGTTTGTGAAGTGCGCCTGAAAGGGGCCCCGCCCCGCGCTCGGCTCCTCCATTCCCTGGCTCCCGTCAGTCTCCTCTACCAGCTCACCGCAGAAAAGGCTTTCCTCAGACTTGGCGCGGCCGGAAGCTGCACGGCTGGGTGTCCGTTAGATTTACAGCTTGTGGACTCCCTAGAGGCAGAGACCACAAAAGAGCAGCGTTGAAAAGAGCCTGTTGAGAACAAGACATATTAGAAATCTATCCGAGAGTCCCGGCACTTTAGCTGAGCTCCTCGCTTTTTGGTTGCCGCAAATTCGGCGGTCGCGTCGCTAAGTTTTTTGTTTGTTTTATAACAAAAAATTTGTTTCTCTACCTCAGTATTCAGGCTCCTTAGGGTGATCTCAACTCTTTTACTCAAATCTGAGGGAAAATTTAGCCCAAGGAAATTTGTTGTGGCGCAACACAGCAAGCAGAACAATCACTAAATGAGATTATGTCGGTCCAAAATTCAGATGTTTGACACCGATAGGGCCCTTGCCGACCACCAGGCAGCAGCATCCTCAGTCTAGAAAATCCACCACCCCACCCCCTCGGCTTCCAGTGTGGCAAGTTTCTGTGGCTACGCGACGACGAAGTTAACTACACTGGGTGGAGCACTGGGTTTAGGGAAAGAGTTGAGTAACTTCTGAGTCACGTGGAAGTTGGGACTTTCCAGAGGCCAGTGTTTTCAGTCTTCTTATTGAATGGCCATTTTAAACATTTATATCGTGTTTTTACTATTAGTAACATCTGACAGTAATGGCTTAGAAGTGGCCAGAAGGGAGTTACCTGAGTCTTACACAGTCAGCTATAATAAATACAGAGCCTGAGGACTACCTAAAGCCATGATTAGGGACATAGACGTTAGAGTCAGATTGTCTAGGTTCAGATCCTGACACTATGCTTTATACGCTTCTTAATGAGGTGATTCTGTGCCTCAGCTTCATCTGTTAATAGGGGACTGGTGGATTAAATGAGAACTAGTAAGAGGCAACTACAACAGAGTTAGGTATCTAGGAAACACTCGGTAGTTACTTTATATATGCAAGTGTATTCACCATTTCCTAATTGATTTAAAGGAATGTATCACCTTATCTTTCACGCCTTCATTTATCTCCCTCGCCAAAAAAGCACATATATTTTTAAAAGATGCTGTGATCTGTAAGATCCCACACAATTTAAACCGTAAATAGCAGAAAATTTAGAGCCTCACATATAATTAATAATATATATTCCACTGCTAAAATTTTTTAAAATTACATAAGTTAACCCCATGGAATTTACAAAATGGAAGACAGAACTCATGATTTTGTGATAAAGGTATTACCTCACCAAGCTGCGGGTACATTTATTTCTCCCTTTACTCATCCATTGGCATCAATCTAAAAAAAAAAAAAAAAAAAACCCGAATGATTTGTCCTGACACTAGAAGCACAGTGCAGACTCTGCATATTCTTTATACCTTCCAGCATAAGGGCGAGTTGTTTTCATGAGTCGCTAAAATCAGCTGCTCCCAAATCCTTTTATCATTACAACCTAAGCTTAGAGCTGTTTTTTTTTGCTGGCTGCATAAAGGAAAACAACATCTTGCCTTGCAAATGTTCTGACTTAATTATTATGTGAACTGGTATCTTAAAATGGGGTTGTTTGGCCAAATTTTCAAAGAACTTCAGAAGAAATACTCAGAAAAACCTGTATTTCAGAAATGTGCATTTGTTGACCTACATCTCAGGCTTTCATGCATTGTTAGAACTGAATTATCTCCCTGTACATAAGTTTTATTTCACTTAATCTTTTCACATAACAAATTTAAACACAGTTTCCTCTCAGTTTCATGTTAGAGATCTGGAATATAGCCCCTATACTTTTTTTTAATAGCCCCTGTACTTTTAAGTGTACCTTTAGGTAAAGTATAGCATACATTTCCATGTCCTAGACTTTGACATAAGACATTTCCAGTCTTATATCCATGTAATAGAACTTGAAATCTATTAGCCTGTGAAGACTTTGGTGTTTCTGACACCGGACATTTTATGTTTCATATGAAAGTTTTCAGGCAGGAAAAAAATACTGGCCCAGCAAGCCAGGAAGCAAAGACTCCTTACCCTACCATAGAGAACAATTTAAGCAATAGAATCCAATAATAATAGTAATTAATATCAACTTAAGTCAGGCTTTCCATGTGTTTTAAAATTTCTTCAGTACCCAAGGCTACTGCTGGCTACTTTGTTACTCATCGGGGAGTGGTAAAATGCTTCGTTCTTGTCTGTAATTATTGTTGGTGGGATGATGATATAGACCTAAAATCCTTATGAGGTTTTTTAAAAATTCTTTTCTAATGGCAAGAATAGTGAATAGTCTCTTTCTCAGTCTCTCTCTTTCTACCTACACACACATGCACACACACACACCTACCTTTTAGCCACAATTAAAATTTTCATTTTTTAAATTCTCAGCTTTAGTATTATTTTTAAAATCTTAACAATAATCTCAAGGTAACCTAAATTATATTACCATAGACTTTTCTTTATTGACAAAAATTTTTGTGTCATGTGGACATAACTAGTATCCCCAGATTCTTTTAAAGAAACAAAGATACAAATATACACTTCTGAAACTAGGTTAAAATCCACTTGGGTCAGGAATTGTGTAAAATTCACAAAATTCAGTTGATTTATAATGTTCAATAGGACAAATTAAGGGAACGATTTAATACAAATTTATAACACAAATTAATGCAAATTTATAACACAAGAAAATCTGCCAAATTCTCTTGGCTGACTTTCAACACTTCTTACGACATTTGTACCTAAGTTGAAAATGACCTTAAAAAACTTTTCTCTGGGTTTCTCTTACCATGAATTCAAGTCACATATTATAGACCTGTTCATGCTAAAGTGATGTTTTAGTGCCCTGCAATTTCATAAATTTTCCTTTGAGAATAATTGACAAATATTTCTATTTTTTTCTCTATTACCTAAAAGATCTCATATGGAATTCCATAATGTGTAATGGCTGCACTTGCAGAGACTTTGTTACCAAACAATGACCTTTATGGGTTAACTATGTAGTATTCTTTAGCCAAGATATGCAAGAGAGGGTTTTATTTTCAACTTCAATATAAAAGGGCCCTTGACATAGCTGTTAGGCATGCCAGAGAGATTGCCTCACTGAATAGGATGGTTACTTAGAACATGGAGATATAGGGAAGATCAGTATTATCAGCACAGTGAAATCTTTCCATCACCAGGCAGCTAGAAAATGTATCTGATAACTAATATTCACGACAATGTACTAAACAAGAACCTAAAAATTCCCTTCACCTGAATTTCCTGTCCTTTTATTCTCCCAGATCTGGCATTTTGTCAGATCCACTAGAGGCTAGAGAGGCAATAATGTCTATGATTCACTGTTATTACTGGGTGTGTTCCCTTGAAGAAGAATAGAGTGATTCAGGTTAGATTAATAATGATGAGGGAGAAGGTAGGGCAAGTGGGTGGAAGGGAAGGGATAGTGAAATAGGAGTTAGATTCTTAAAAGGTAATGGGAATAAAAGTACTGCTCAGGGCCACATTCTTCTCAGATTCTTTATTAACTCAGAAAATATCACCCCTGCATTTATTTGGAGAAAAAAAAAGGCCTTAGATGTCAGCAAATCCTTAAGCAAGAGAATATGTCTTTTAATCATATTTAACCACCTTGAAGTTTGAGAAAACAACCCCCAAGATAATTTCACAATATTGAAATCTGTTTAAACTGCTGACAAACAAGTCAGCTCAGTTTTTTTACCCGTGCCTCTCATTACTGTTTCAGTCTTGAGAGTATAAAAGATTTCTTCTTGGTGATGCTTTTTAGATGGGGGAGCAAGGGTGTCTAATGGTGACAGGAATATAAGGAATTAAGAGACCATATTGTAGGATACTACTGAGAAAATGTGTGAATTTAGCCTATCCAGAAATTTTCTGGCTCACTTCAGGAGCTGAGAGCTAGAATGAAATTTAATCCCTTTCCCACCACTCTACGAGTCAGGAGAAAACACTAAGTCTCCACTCCCAAAGGCAAGGTAATATTACATTAACACCATCAACCTTTAGGAGCAGCAAAAAAGCCGCTGAATGCAGAGCCCCAACCAGGACATCTGAAGTCTGTGAGGACCAGGTGGAGAGGGATGATCAAAGATGGGGGAGGTGGCTTGAGCAAAGGCACCTCTTCATGGATCCTCTCTCTTCCACCTCCAAGATTGTGTCGAGAGCTCATATCCCCCATACTGTGTGGAATACCACTTATCAGTGACAGCAATATCACTCAGCTCTCCACCTCCATGATACATCTGTGGCTACCGATAAATAATATATAAAGTTTAATGATGATGTCGGTGATCCTCAACTGGCAAGTGATATTATTACTTTTTGATACTAAAAATATGTCTTTCTTACAGATAGGATCTTGGAAAAGAAGTATAGAATAAAAAAGCATTCACTCTGACATAGTCCTCTAAGATTTCACCCAGCTATTTAGGCTTTATCAGCACAAGATTAAGACAGATAATACTTTTCCTTCAACAACATGAACTTTTAACTCAAACCTTTCCAAACTATTTCACCCCACAAAGTTTCCCCTTATGTTCCACTCTGGTTGCTATATCATCTCTCAAGCAGCTATTTCTCACTTGATTTAAGTATCTACCTCTGAGTCAAGTTGTCCTCTTCTTACAGCCACCTTCAAATCTTTCTTTTATTATTATTGTAATCAAGAGAAGGGTTATTTAAACAGTTGTTCCCCAACACTCCCTGCTACATGGGAATGATGGCTTAATCCACCTCCATTTTGCTGTTTACTCTTTTTCTTCTGCTCTGGTATGACATGAATCTACACCCTTCTGTGAATGCTGGATATTGAAAACACACTTCTAAGTTGCTGACGGTCTGATGTGAAGGGAATTAATACTAAGCACAAGAATAACACCCACCAGCAAAGATGGTCTTCTCAGACTTTTGGAGGCCTATCATTTGGCAAACAGCATTCCATGATACCAAAGAATACAGTTTTGGGTTTTGGAGGCCAGGCAACTAATCACGTCCATATTTGTTGAGCAAATTCCTTTGAAACTATAAATTATAAGGTACCCATAAGTTAGAAAAAAAAAGCATTACTACAGGTTAATATTATCTGAAATGTTTTCCTAGTCTAACTCTGGGGCATTGAAATAGAGATTTCAAACCTGCATGTACAAGTTTAGGATTTTTGTAAAGCTGCCAAATCTTTAATGTAACAATAATTAGCATAAAGCTTGTGCATTTAAGTAGCCCTGAAAAGAATGAGGTTGAATCTTTTGCAAGATGTCTCTCTTTTTTCAAAAAAAAAAAACAATTTTACCAGTATGTATTATTTTCACTCAGCACTGTTTCCCATAGGTTTTGAAGAAATGTAAAGCTGACTTTGTTTTATTTCAATAATTGTCTGCAAGGATAGCAATTTATTTTCAGTCACTAGTTTTTGGAATTAATCAATCACATTTACCCACCAATATCTCATTTTTATCATT